CTCTCTCTCTCTCTCTCTCTCTCTCTCTCTCTCTCTCTCTCTCTCTCTACATGCGAAATGGACGTTTCCATTCGAATTTAATCATGCAAAAGAAAAATCGAAATGATCTGAGTGAAAAGGCAATTGACGGCAAGAAGAAGAGAATCAAGGCGAGCATTTTCAGAAAGGGGCTCCATTGTATTATCATCGATTCCATTGCTTTTTCAATCGTCGTGCATTCATTTGTAAATAAACAATAGCAACACTCTTCACTCTTGAATTGATTAGCCGATGTTGCTCATATTTTCCCACGTGGTCATAGTTGTTGTTAATTGCTGATCCTGTTTGGTCTAAACTCGTAATTGAATTGGAATTGTACAATGCAATTTAACGAACAGGTTCATCCCACCCATGGGAATCGACGGCAAGCAACGTAAATACAATCAATGAGTGCTTGAAGAAAAAAAATCATAACAAAAACCAATTCGACGGAGAAAATATTAAGAAACTACTGAAAATGTCGAATGCAACATTGGGACATACCAAAGCAGAAAAATTCCATTGAATTGTGTGATCAATGTATTATTGTGTGCTCTGAAATCCATCTTGGATCTAGCCGCTCTCAAGCCGCACAACAACACAAAAATGCCAAGCAACAATTGAAATGAGAAGAATTAAACAATTTGTGAATAGCCTTGATTGTCCAATTGATATGTTTTTATTGTGCATTTGGTTTTTCGTTTTCTTCTCTCCCTCTTCCTCTGTCTTCGGATTTCATTAGGCGATCAGTTAGGTCATAGGCCGTTTGTAGCTTTGAATGTTGAACATACAAACGCCCTTCAATATTTCAAAATAGAAAATATGCTGTCGATATTCAACTCAATCTGTTTTTTCTTCGACAAAAATCAAAAGAAAGAATTACTTCATCAAAAGATCATCCAATTCCTTTCTATTAATAGCTTCTAATGCACTTTTTTTTCTCTCTCTCTCTCTCTGGTTTGCTTCACCTTTGTGAATGTCCATTAAATTGTTTGTCATTTGTTTAAGAACAGAACAGAGAACAATGCACACATAAATAGATCTGACCCATTTCTTTCGTTCGTTCGTTCGTTTTTGTTTTGAGCGGTTTTGCACGGACAATTAGATACAAAAAATATTTGAGCTTGAGCTGCCCGAGTTGAGCTGTTTATTTGAGAGATTGCGAGAAATATAAACAAACAGGCGTATGCTGGTTGAATAGTGATTTTGCGAAAATCCCATTTCCAATGTCAATACGACATAAATTGTGACACTTATCTAGATAATTTTGTCATTCGTTGAGATTTCGATTCAATAGAAAATCTGTTGTTTTGAATACCATTTTGTAATTCGCCATTTGTGAATCTCTTACTGATGCTGCTGCTGATGTCTATTGTTATTGCATAAATTTAAAGTAATTTAACAAGAGAAAAAACCCATTGTAATAATTGTTGTTCTTGGTTTCATTTTATTCTGAATAAATAACAGGTCAAGGAAGACTTAACCAACTCGGTGGTACGTTCATCAATGGCAGACCATTGCCAAATCATTTGCGCTTGAAAATCATTGAGATGGCCGCTAAGGGCGTCCGACCATGTAACATTTCACGCCAATTGCGTATCTCGCACGGTTGTGTATCGAAAATTTTGAATCGTTACCAAGAGACTGGCTCCTTCCGTCCTGGTGTGATCGGCGGATCCAAACCACGTAACACAACGCCGGAAATCGAGATAAAAATTCAGGAGATCCGTAAACAAAACCCAAATATGTCGGGTTTCGAAATCCGAGACAAACTCATTCAATTGGGCATTTGTGACAAAAACTCCGTTCCATCTCAATCATCGATCAATCGCTTGTGCCGTGACGGACATTCGGACAGTTTATCGAACAGCGGCTTAATTGGTAAGTTTTCACAAATTGATTTTTTCGCTATTTGCATGCAAATCGAATGCATTTTAAATGACCTGCCTCAATTTCATGAGAAATTAGACGTTCTTTTGCTAAGTTTTCCATTTGAATTCTTTCGTTAAACAGGCAACTCGTCATGTGGCGACGAAAGTTCTGGCGAAAGTGATATTGACTTCGAACCGGGTCTATCTTTGAAGCGTAAACAACGCCGTTCACGTACCACATTCAGCAACGAACAATTGCAAGAGCTCGAGAATTCATTCGCAAAGAACCATTACCCAGACGTTTATTTGCGTGAAGAATTAGCACAAAAAACCAAATTGACTGAGGCTCGTGTCCAAGTTTGGTTCTCGAATCGTCGTGCACGTCTACGCAAACACTCGAATTCACATGAAATATCGTCATTGCCCGAAGGCTTAGTAAATTTGCCATTGCATCTTTCATCACAATTTCCACAGCACCATCATCATTCGTCGTTGTCTACATTGTCCGAGAGTGCTGCGTCGTCGATGCCATTGTCATCGTCATTGCAATGGCCATCGTCCGGAATAAATTATAACATGAGCTCACAACAAACTGGCGCCCATCACTTGAACACCCTTCAATACAATCCAAACTCTTATGGTCACCATTTCAATGCATCATCACTTTTGGCCGCAAACAATAATCCAGCATCGCTCAGTCCACCATCCAGCACATCAGCCAGCCCACATTCGCTCAGTCCAGTCAGCAGCACACCAAACAGTATCGGACACGTTCCATATGCATCTTCAATTGATTCGGCCAATCAATTATCATCGGGTTTCGGACATGCATCTGCTAATCAATCGAGTGCATACAACAGTTTGGCTGCAGTTTCAAGCGGATATCAACCACATCCACATGCCCACACAACAATGACCGATAGTAGCCATTGGCGTTCACATGCACCACGATCACTCGAATGGGATACTTATAGGTAAATATCGATTTAATCAATCACATCAATTCACACGAACATAAAGGGCGCAACAAGTTCCGTGTGCAATTTACCTTGAACTGGGGTCATTTTGAAATCCATTTGAACGAATTGATTTAACATTTTTCTTCTATGTGCACTGAGATGTCTATATTTTGCTGCGCGTTAATTTTCGCCATGTGCACTTCATAATTTGCTTTTAATAATGGCGATAAGCATGTTGAGCTCGTTTTCAGTTGAAATTAATGTTTGTTTTCGTTTCTCTCATCTAATTTTAGCCCGTTCTTTGCAAGCAACATGAGCTCATACCCAACATCCAGCACGTCCACATCACCAGCCGGCTCATCAATTGCATCCAGTATCGGTGAAGTGAAACCACAAATCACATCCAATTACCCATATTTCGGTCAATTCAATCTGGACTGGAAAACCGAGGGACATCTCTGAATGATGATGTGATGCGATTCAAATGCATCGTCTATAGTAAAATCGATAAAAGTATATAATGTAATGTTTTATTTAATTAGATTTTTTAATTACTTCTAAGTTATCATTTTCACACATTTTCATAAAAACCATTGAGCTTGAGTTGTGTGAGAGAATAAAATTGCACAGCTCGAACCCCATTTTTTTCCTTTCGCTCACCGTTATTTTAAGGCAGACTTAATGTTACATCCTTAATCGCATTGGTTTTATGCTCTTCGCATTATTAGCTCTAGTAAGATATTATATTTTTAGGTTCTAGCTCAATTCAAACATGAAAAAAAATCGACCAAAATCAAAATATCGCTACTTCAAGTGGTATTATTATTATTAAGCGAAAACATTTTCAAGGATTCAAGATGTTTTCATTAGTGCTATTGAAGTCATGTTTATCGTTCTATATTTCATATACGAAACAACAAATAGTATTGTATTAAGAATAGTTTTATTTCATCTTAAGGTCAACCTTTTTGGGAATGAAATAAAGATTTATGGATAAAATCAAAATGAAATGGTTTCTTTTTTTATAGCCCGAAGCATTTTTCTTGGTGTTTGTTCCTTCTCTCTCTCTATCTCTCTCTCTCTCTCTCTCTCTCTCTCTCTCTCTCTCTCTCTTCATTTTCTGCATTGTAAATGCACTGTCGATTCGATTGATGCGGGTAAGTTTTCAGGTGAAAAGCAGCCCATGAATTATAGACGTTTATAGGCAAATTGTATGGATGAACATTTATCACGTAGCCAAATACTCAACGAGCTCAATCGGATCGCTTTTTCAACATTCCGACAAATTTGATGTTATAACAAATGACCACACGTCCACGTAATGCTTTATCGTAAATCTTCACACCAATTGATTTGCTACTTCGTAAACGAATGCTCGTTTTTAATTACCTGTATACACAATCTTTGCATTTGATATTTGACGAGAACTGAAATTGAACCTGAAGTTTTTTTTCTCTCTTCTAACTAATTCACGAAGGCGGAAATGAAAGAAAATTATGAAGCATGCGATGCAATAATGAATGGGATTTTTTTTTTCTTCTATTCCCATTCTTCACTCGGTTTCGTTTATGAATCGATACACATTACCGTCAAGCCAAAACCGTGTACAAAGTAGATCGATTGACGCGAACGAAAAACTTCAAATCATTGCTCTATTATGCATTTCATTCAAGACAAAGCCAAGTACTTCGATCGGGGTATGCGTTCAACATAAGTATTACGGCAGCAGTCTTTAAATCGTCTTTCACCGTCACATGAGAGAAACCTGGAAGCGTGATCCATTTCCAAAAGACTAACAAGTCAAATATTAAAATAATTTCAATTCGTACACAGGATGGTGTTGTTTCTTTGCCACATTTTGTTTCGTTCCCATTTCCATATTATCTAGCTTTTGAATCGCGGATATTTGTGGTGTTGTTGTTGCTGTGCTTTTTTCTTCATTCACCATTTTAATGCCGGCTCACCATGACCATTCGGGTAATTTACAATTACGTTTTAATGGACAAGATTTATTGTAACCGCGCGCATATGTGGGTATAGAAGAAAAGTGAAAAGAGGAAGGAAAGAGGTGAACGAAAATAACAAAAGAAACCAACAAGACGAAACATTAATTATTATGTTTTATCATTTTGTTTTTGTTTCTCTTTTCTCTCTCTCTCTCTCTCTCTCTCTCTCTCTCTCTCTCTGTGCGTGTGTGTGTGTGTGTTTTTGTTTCATTTTCATGATCATGAGCTGCGCTTTTTTTCTCATTACTATTTGAAGTAATAATATCTAACCACGCCTCAAATGCACAACGCACATCATTTGTGTGCTCAAGCTGTCCGATATGTCCGAACTTATGTAAATAACGTACACGTAAATGAATAATTACCGACAGCGATCGAGAGAGAGAGAGAGAGAGAGAGAAAGAGAGAGAGAGCGGGGAAGAGCGCGTAATAGAGAGAAATGTGTTCATGGTAAGTGGAAGTTTTGGCCAAAACGAAAATTCTGTGTCAAAAATATGATACATTTTTCAGTGAGTAGTGTCAAGTGGCGGCCAATATATGTGCGTGTATGGAGGAAAAAAGTACAAGAAACGGATATTTGAAGTAGCACTTGCCACATAAAATTTAAGTGGATAACAGTTATAATTATGTTTTGTTCACATTCAGCTTTGATGGAGAGCTAAATAAATATGGGGCCATAAATCTTAATTTAAAAATCATAATTTTACCATTTTTTTTCTTCAGTCGAAGGTATGCAAAAAAAACTCGAATGTAAATAACACTTTTTATTCGGGCTGCCAGCTCTATTCCATTGAATATTGAGTCCATGTGAATGTTGGCGGTTTTCTTTGGAACGTATTTCACTCGTGAGAAATATATCGTACATTTTGACACATTTTTTTTCATATTCACATCTTCATCTGATAGAGAATACAATAAACATGAAAAACAGAAATTGGTTAATTTCGGACGAAAATCCCCTCCGTGTTTGTGTATATATTGCTTTTGACTTACTTATTTTAAACGGCATTACACCAATTTTCTCATATTTTTGTCATAAAATTGTCTCATGTTAATCGTTTGATAAGTTGCTGTTTCTTTACTAACCTGACTGCATTCCATATCCTTCACCGGTCAAAAACTCACTTTCATTCGCAGAGTCTGTTACGGATATAACAGCGATACGAAAAAAAATAGAGAAAATCGTGCATTTTTTGTCAGTTGTACACTGGCCCAACAACACAGTTCCGACAGCAACTTCATTTTCGTCGTGTGTGATCGAAAATCAAAATTCAACGTATCACTCAATTGTTGGTTACGTTGCTTCATCATTTGCAAGGTGCAATTTGCGATTTCTTGTTTTTTTTCTTCTGCGTTTTTTCTTACGTGTGGTATGAAAGAGAAGAGTAAACACGAAACAATACAAACATTTGGCCAATTTATATGGATCTTGTTCTCGGACTGATTTCAAACTAGACGTGAGGTGCTCTCGTGTGCCAAAACCGCTTCCAACCTGATATGTATGCATACCCATTTTTTTGCGACCATTTCAATACAGTTTTGATTGCTGGATCCACACCAACTACGGGCTTTAGTCCGAAAATGTCCAGCCGTCTGTCAGCGCGTAAATGTAAAACAAAGTAAACGTCGCAGAAACCGCCTTTTGGAAAATACACTCAAACACACACGAAATGAACAAAAACACTCGACTGTGTTTCTGCAGATAATGAAGCAAGAACATTAAGCATTTAACTGACTATTGATTGAATGGTACCCAGCCGCAATTACTTAGAAGAGAGAGATCGAGAAAGAGAAACAAAAAAAATTGCTTAATTAAATTGGCAAGTTGAAAATGTAATTTACATTACATTACATGTGATTGATTGTGAGTGCGGCAGCAGCAGCAACCAAATGGTCCGATTTTGAATTAGATGTATGTTCAATACGCTTTCGTTGCCAATGGGTCGAGAACGGTCAACAGTGGAAAGGGCCTCACATCTACGGAACGTTGATGATTGTGACCGCAAAATTGGACAAAAATGTGGGCAATCCGAAAGAAATTACGTCTAGTTGTGCGAATTTTCTATATAGTGACCAAACCAATTCAATGCGTCCAAGAAATGTGCACCGAGCAAGGACGAGAGAGAGGGAGTGAGAGAGAGAGAGGAAGAAAACAGCACACTGTATCGATGATTACCATCATCATTATCTTCAATACTATATGTTTTAACAATAAATATTTATGAACATGATGCTAATGTAGCCGATACAACTCAATAACATGCATCGCGCTCGGTGTTTCCTTCACTCTTGCTTTGAAACACACACACACACACACACACACACACAAAATCAGAATACATGAAACAGTGAGAGATTCATAAAGTCATATAATAAAATAAATCAAATATGCGCACGGACTGTCGGCGAGCTTTGCATCTAATCGAAGGCAGAAAATGGTTGATTGCAAAATCCGAGAATAGTGTTCAAATATGATTACAATACGCTTCGAATGGTGTTTCATAACCTGCAGGCATTTTTGCCTTGTTCCTTTGTATCTCTCGGCTCAAATCTCATATGGAAGATTATGATGACGACAAAGACTACGAAGATGGCAGACAAACAATATTCTGATTGTATGTGATATGAAGGGCATGATTTTTGGCCGGTTGATCACAAAGTGCTTTTCCATCACTCCATTTATATTGTTTTGAACGCAAAGCTGCTTTGTGATGGAGCTTAGGCCGTCAATTTTTGGTCAGTGATTTCAGATGGTGGAGTTATCCCCATCGTAATTATCCGAATAAATCTGAATCGATCAATCGTTTTGTTGACGCTGCTTTAAGTCGAATGATATTTACGACATAAGCTGAACATCAAAAGGGATGCACGTAAGCACAAAATTGTTGATGCAATAATAACAAAAACACATAATAACTGCCACACGAATGAAATAAACATCGTAGGATAATCTTGACGAAAAATACGGTTAAATTGTGAAGTGAATTGATGGGTAAATCTACGCCAATGTGTCTACTCTCCACATAATTCACTCGAAAATATGTATTAAATGCTGATATCTCTATTGGAAGTGCATTTCATCAGTATATTTGCCCACAATGTATGTATTTTTGAGTGAGAACGAAGCAGTATCAAGTACCTGCTTGAAATATGAGTACTCGCGCTTCAAGTGTGTGCGTGTGTTGAGAGGTAAGGCTAAAAATAGCCAAAAGGCTAGAATAGTACATAAGTATCTTGCAAAACAATCGTTTCAATTCATCTAAAAAAACAGCGACACCATTCTCGGCGAATGAATCATCGCAGCAACAAAAAAACAACAACTGATAACTGTTGACGATAATCAAGAAGAAAAGGCATCCATGCACACAAACACACAACTGAAGGTTATTCGATGCCGCTGCGCGCAAGCCTTAATACGTGCCCATGCAGATTATCTTTGACGATGAGTTGAGTGTGCAATACATTTTGCATATTGTTGAATCCCACCAAATGCGAGCGAAACGATGCTGATGCTGATGATGATGAGATGTGTACGCGTGAGCCAAACGACGATAATTTTAGTGCAAACGAATAGTGGTGATAGCATTAAGCCGTTTTGCGCGTTCATTCTTAGTTCATTCGTATAAGGCGCAAGGAATGAATGCATATCGCAATATTATTGTCATAAATGTTGGGCAAAAAGCACCGAATATACATACATGTGTGTGTGTGTGTGTGTGTGTGTGTGTGAATATGTCTGTATGCGGATAAAAAGTGCGAATGGGGCCAAATTGGAATTCTTGCGGATCAGCAAGTCGCTGATAGAGAAGGAATGGCTCGTAGGAATAACAACAAAACGGCAACAACAACCGCAGAATGAAAAAGTGAGAAAGGTATTGCGCTAAAAGATTATATTATGTATCGTATTGTTGAAGACAGGAATTATTATTTATAAGAG